GTATTATCTATATTTACTTTATATAAAATAAATAAAATTTCCGCAACTCACCTTGCATGTTGTGGTCCAACAAAGCCCGTGTCATGGGCTGAGCTAGCTGTGATTTGAGCATCTGTGATTGCGCCCGATTCCATGCCCAGAGGCACATTGCATGTGGCTGTAAAATAGAGACAGACGAGAGAAAATGAAAAATTAGAAAAAATATTAGAAAATCTCAAAGAAATAAAAAGTACTTTAATTAATGATGGATGCGCTTTGCGCATCGTCTCATGGACCACAGCCTACATCAGAGGCGAGCTAAAAGTAAATTTAGCTGTGCCAAGTGAAGTTGGGGCAACGCCCATAAAATCTATCAAAATAAGTCAAGCGTCAATTAGACTTTTTTGACATTTGAACGAGGCAGATGCAGGCACGCCCAGTGCCATTTATGCTATGTGCTATGTGCCATGTTGGCCAGTGTAGTRGGTAGGTAGGGCCTATCACTTTCCCATGGCTTCGCCAGAGGAGACTATCTGCTTTTTAAATAAGGCAAACACTTAATCATTGCCAAAGTCAAGCCAAGCCAAGCCAAGCCGGGCAGAACGTCAACTACTTTAGTTAATTTATTGCCTACCGATTGCATTTTGCAGATCCCCCAACTGTTCCCCATGGCACCTACTATGCCTTTTGATGTGAATTGAAGTTGATGCTGCGCCCCCGCTGCCGCCCCACTGCCAGCTGTCTGGCTGGCTGTCTGTCTGACTGGCTGACTGTCTGACTGGCTGTCTGACTGCCTGCTGACATTTTCGCCAGAATCAACACTGATTTGACATGACTTTTGTTGCGCACAGGCACAGCATGGACCAGCTTCCAGTTACCGGCTCAATATACTGACTGCATTGCATTGCATTGCCTCCTGCCCAAGGTGCGTGCATTCGTTTAGAAGTTTATAAATAAACACACTCACTCACACACACATGCCTAGAGAACCTGGACGAATCGCTCTTTGCATTCGCACTTGATTGGATTTGATAGCTGGCAATGCTAATGGGAACTGAAAGCTGCTCTGCAAAAGGCTGGACTGAGAGATCTAGGACCGAGTCGAGGCGAATCACTGGGGCTCGGTTTGGTTTGGTTCGGGTCAGAAGCCGTGGCGTTGCCTTCAACTGCATATTGCAAGTGTATTCATTTGGAAAATTGTTGCATGTTTTGCTAACTCAACTCAGTGTGTCTAGCAGCAACAACAACAACAACAGCAACAACAGCTACAACAACTTGAAACAACTCAGGCACTTCCTCTTGCTTATTTGCTTATGTGTTTTTATTCTGAGGGCGGGCGGGGTGCACAAAGGGCAAATATTGAAGGCAGTCTAGTTGTAGTCCAAGTAGAGAATTGCCTTCGAACATGTTTATAAATTCGTATTTATGTATTTGGCTTGCTTGATTAACTATAAATATTATGGCTTAGATTTGATTTACTAGACCAGAAGACAAAGGCAGACAGACGTCTAGCTCTGTTTATGCAATATGACAGCTGAAAGTTTGCAGGAAAACTTGCGGTCGACTCCAGGAAAATGCATATACGTAGATAGCAGAAGAGCTGCAGACGAGCAGAAAACTAGAAAACTAGAAAACTTATTACCAAACTATCAAATAAATGAAAATACATTTTCCTTCTCACTCTCCCTCTTTGCTTTTCATTTCAGATGCAACAACAACTGGTTAGAAATGGGAAATTTTTAGGAATATTTTTAGGTATGTAAAACAATTTAATTGAGTCATTTAAAATTATGTATAAATGGATTTATAAAATATTTAACATTCCTTTATGTCCAGCTGTATTCACATAAATACTAGTGTGACTGAACGCAAAATTAAGAGAAGAGAAAAGTCAATTTGAAGATAATTTGCAAGGAATATTGAGAATATATTTTTTTTTTTTTTTAAGAAGCATAAAAATCATATGAACTTAATTTAATTGTTTATAAAAATATGAAAGGCTAAGGAAAAGGAAAAATATATATAATTAAAAATAATTTAATTATATGAAATCATACTTATGTATGAATATAA